CGGTATAGGATTGCAACCCATACATCTGTGTGTACAAAACACACCACTAAGCTGGTCTAAAACTATTATGGGTAGATTTAATGGGGTGCTGATAGGGTCCTGCTTCATGTCTTATCTTGCAGTCCGTGTAACAAACAAACACAAATTGCTGTTTGGGTAAATGCATATGTAATTATCCGAGGCCCCTGCATTACTCATCACAGCAGATTAGGTCAATTCTGTGGCTTTCCAGGAGACGCTGTGAAGGGTTGGTCATGCAACTCGCACTCAGTAATGACATGATGAATGCAATAACTCATGTCAGCTGCTTGTGTTTGTGTTGTGAGTTTACCGAGAAGTTAGAACTAAGGCATGTCATTGAGCGATGTTGTTACCGCAAACTCTTTGAGATGGTTGATAGGCAGCCAGATTTATATTAATAGTTATTTTCACTACTGTATATATATATATATATTTGTACTGTTGTCATATATTCATATTCATCCATTTAGAGGTCTAATCTACTAGACTCACACCGGTGTCCTATCCACATTTGTGTGTAGACCTTTATTTCTTCTATATTTACTGTTCTTTTGTTTATACCTCTTAATGTGTGTATATGTTTACTATGTATCTATGTATGAATATGTATGTATCAGGGTTTCCGTTAGCCGGTAATTACCGGTTTTTAGCTGGTAAAATGAATTTAAAAAAATGGTAAATTCAAAACCTGCCGGTCAAAATGTCCGGTAATAATTAGGGATGCTCCGATCGATTGCCACGGATCATTATCGGCCGATATTCACTCTTAATAGTTTGATCGGTGCTCTCTATAAAGGCCGATCAGGAGAGCTGGATCCGATCGATATGGACATAAAAACGAGGGAAGTATAACCGGACGCGAGAGAGAGATCAGAGATCAGCTGCTGAGTCTGACGGAGACACGCAGCTCTGCATGATCACCTGAAGCCCCGCCCACTGTTTAGCGAGCCGCATGAGAAACTGACCCGGCTGTCAGGAGGGGGAGAGAGAGAGGGAGAGAGAGAGAGAGGGAGGGGGAGAGAGAGAGAGAGAGAGAGAGAGAGAGAGAGAGATGAGGGAGATAGGATAGGAGAGAGCGAGATAGGATGAGCTTAAGAAGAGATCGAGTAGAGAGAGAGTCTGCTTCCTATCTCCCGTGTTATTATTCAAAGAATGTAGAGAATAAGACGAGAGAGAGACTCCGTTCCTCCCGTGTTATTATCCAAAGTTAATGTAAACTTTTGAATAATGTACTTTATCTACTAGAAGTAGTTTGTTCCATTAACTGAGTCAGCATATCCGGTCATAGTCCGGTAATTACCTGCTAACGGAAACTCTGCTACACAATTCTTATTATTGAAACATGACCGGTAAGTTTAGAATTTGTCCGGTAAAATTAATTATTTCCGGACACTTGACCGGCAAGAAAAAATCCTAGCGGAAACCCTGGTATGTATAAGTGGGTGTACAGGTGTGTATGTATGTATAATTATGTAAATATTGTTATTCTCCTGGATGGTGAGAAACAGCATTTTTGATCTGCCAAAAAATGTACAATAAAGTTGACTTTGACTTTTGACTTTGAGATGTCTAAAGTTTTAAAAAACGGTATGAATATCAATAAAACATGGGAATGCAAAGCTGCAAAATTCGCATTGAAGCCTTTTTTGTTTCGGGGACAAGTCAGGACTTGAATGGATGGCATCAGTCAGTTACTCAGCTGGGTGTGCAGGAGGAAGAGGAACCGGCCAATCAACTGTCAGACGTCAACATGAAGGAATGCGAGACAGCGGAGAGGGACTAATGACATCACCGGAGACGGCCTCCATCAGAAAGACTGATACGCATCAGTACAGATCGGACTAACTAAGACAAATCAAGTTTGTGAACATGCTGAGAAATGTTCTTATTTCTTAAAAGGTTGACTATGTATCATTGCTGGTTGCTTTTGTGAGTAGATACCAATCAAAGTTGTCCGAACCTCTGAGAAAAGGCAGTCTCATGGATCCGATTCCTGGACTCTCAGGACATCAGAATATACCACAATGGAAACACAGACTAAATAGTGATTTAAGTTGAAGTCCACCAAGTGTACACTAAGAGAATCCCACAGGTTTTAGACTGGCAGTCTACGTGTCCCATGATATTTAAAACCATCAATAGTCACATGTCATCTTCCGTAAGTTTCCCCTAAGCTAGTCTCATATGATTTAAACACAAACACTCCATCATCTCCGCACATCCCGCTCAGAAGGTGCCAGATTTTGAATGAATGCAGCCGAAAAACGCTTCAATGCTGCCGTGTGTCGTGTGTGGGAGGCTGTGGCGCAGTGGATTAGTGCATTGGTGTTCGGATCAGAGGAGCACAGGTTCAAACCCCACTGCAGTCAGCATGTCGTTGTGTCCCTGGGCAAGACACTTCAGCCCAAATTGCTCCTGTGGGGATTGTCCACAGTATTGAGTATGTAAGTCGCTTTGGATAAAAGCGTCTAACAAGTAACATGTAACGTAATATGTGTGTGTGTGTGTCTCAGCTTAGCCTGTTCAAACGGACACACAAACAGCAGCACACACCAGGCACTTTGCACACAGCAGAGTGAAGAGACGTTCAGAGAAAACACTGACGTACATGAAACACATTGAAGTAGCATCCTGTGATCTGATGCTTTGTAAACACGCTAAAGGATGCTGGTTCAGAGGAAGCGGACACAGAGGGGTGTGACAAAGACGTATTTGATGAGCTGGAAATGACAGCAGGCGGAACACACTGAATATTGGCTGATAGTTACACACTGACATGTGACCCAAAGGCTATTTGTTGATGGCCAGAAAAGTCCCAAACACTACAATAAGTAGAAAAGAGAATATGCAGATTACAGACATTTCTCCACACTTCATATGTGATGATTTAGAGGGATTGGATCAGTATCCACATTTCCTTTTGAGTCCTTTGATTGAGTTACAATCAAATTCAGCATGGTATTCTTCTGAAAAACAGACGACAGAAGAACACACTGACTCATTCAGCTGAAAGGATTTAGCTTTCTTATTTGGGAGCATTAGTCAGAGTGAGCTATCCCGTCATTAAGTGTGTTTCGCTTGGCCCATACCTGATGATAGAATCACATGTGACTCAGGAAGGAGAGCTGTCATTATTGTCCATGCTCCTATTCACATGATCGAAACTAGATAGCTAGTTTTACAAATTAAGAAGATCAGTTACTAGTGTACATCGTAAAGGACAATCATGTGAACGCCTCAGTAATATTTATTTTGGGGAGACTCAAGTGTTAAAACACATTATGGGTTTAACAACAGGTACAAATCCACCAGTTGAGGGTACTGTTGTTAACTCGAAAGAACAACACTTTTGGCAAGTTTTATGATATGATGATATAACATATGGATAGGATTATTATATTGCAAGGTACTCTTGAAAATATAACAAAATCCTCATATAACTTCTTTCACTTTCTGTAAATAGGGTGAAAAAGGTTTGTTGAAAAGCTCCTTTTTTGTTTCTTATACAGGATTTTAATGTTATTTTTCAATATAATAAGTTTCTTTTTTTTTATTACGTTTTTTGTTTTGTTGCCAAACCTGAAATTGCTAAGAGGTTTAATCCTGTAAAAATCATTTTGTTTTGGTTTTCAATAAAGATATTTATTTCATGTCCTGTTGTGTTTTGGATTCTGAAGTATTTTTGACTTTTTATTATTCAGAATATTTTATATTGTTTATGTTTGATATAATAATTTTAATTTGTAAATGTTAAATTCTAGTATTTTAAGTATTTGGATTTAATGTCTGAACACACTTCTGCTTCTGTAACAAAATCATTTCCCAAATTGGAATCAATAAAGTATCTATCCATCCATCTACCTATCCATCTATCTATCTATCTACCTATCCATCTACCTATCTATCTATCTATCTATCTATCTACCTACCTATCTACCTATCTACCTATCTATCTATCTATCTATCTATCTATCTATCTACCTACCTATCTACCTATCTACCTATCTACCTATCTATCTATCTACCTATCTATCTATCTATCTATCTATCTATCTATCTACCTACCTATCTACCTATCTACCTATCTACCTATCTATCTATCTACCTATCTATCTATCTATCTATCTATCTATCTACCTACCTATCTACCTATCTACCTATCTACCTATCTATCTATCTATCCATCCATCTATCTATCCATCTATCTATCCATCTACCTATCTACCTATCTACCTATCTATCTATCTACCTACCCATCTATCTATCCATCTACCTATCCATCTACCTATCTATCTATCTATCTACCTATCCATCTACCTATCTATCTATCTATCTATCTATCTACCTACCTATCTACCTATCTACCTATCTATCTATCTATCTATCTATCTACCTACCTATCTACCTATCTACCTATCTACCTATCTATCTATCTACCTATCTATCTATCTATCTATCTATCTATCTATCTACCTACATATCTACCTATCTACCTATCTACCTATCTATCTATCTACCTATCTATCTATCTATCTATCTATCTATCTACCTACCTATCTACCTACCTACCTATCTACCTATCTATCTATCTACCTATCTATCTATCTATCTATCTATCTATCTACCTACCTATCTACCTATCTACCTATCTACCTATCTATCTATCTATCCATCCATCTATCTATCCATCTATCTATCCATCTACCTATCTACCTATCTATCTATCTATCTATCTACCTACCCATCTATCTATCCATCTATCTATCCATCTATCTATCCATCTACCTATCTACCTATCTACCTATCTATCTATCTACCTATCCATCTACCTATCTATCTATCTACCTACCCATCTATCTATCCATCTATCTATAAAAACTACAATTTTGATTTAAAAAGATATATGGTATGATAGAGGATTTTATCCACCCTAAGTTAGGACGCCAAAACTGTCACTTTAGTCAGAATCTTCTTAGTTTGATGAGAGGATTAAGTCTGTATCAAATAGAACTTCCCAAGCTACGGTTACTTTCCCCTGTCGTCTGCATGTCTCAGAGTCAGCCAAGCAAACCGTGGAGGTGATCCGGGGCGTTTGGAAACAACCACAGGCTGATATAGTGATATAACTTCACTGTTGCTGCTTGACTGATCTGTTAGTACCGGGCATGAAATGACAGTCAGTGGATCTTTCTCAAAGCTCCTCTCCCATGAAAGTCACAAACAATGACCCGCATTGTGCAGCATGAGAGAAACAGGGTGGAGAAGCGGAGGTAAAGGAGGAGGTGGAGAGGAGGACTGCCACGGATGAGCGGCTACAGACGGTTCAGGAGTAAAAGCACCTGAATAAAAAAAAACGCTGGCACATCAGTGTTTAAGAAGCCAAGAAGGCTGGGTACATGTTCCATGCCCATGGGATGAGATGAGAGGAAGAAGAGGGAGCCAAAGGATAGGATAGGTTTGGAGAATCGACACAGAGTAAAAAGGAAGCGAGAGAGACGGGAAATCCCCTGCTCATCCTTCATCCTGTGAGTATTAATCACCATCTTCATTTTCCACTTACTTAAGCAAAACTTAAGAAAGTGCAGTGACCCAGGGTTCCCACAACTTCTTAAACATCAAATTCAAGGGCTTTTCAAGGACTTTTCAGGCCCAATTACCACAAATTCAATATAATAAAATTGAATATAAATATGATGAGAAGTAGGGCTGCACCATATTGACATTGCGATATTTTTTTCCCCTGCGATATGAAAAAAATACAGGAATTGAAGAAAAGACCGTTTTTTTTGTCCGCAAACCATCCTTTCTTGAACTTTAATGTTATACACTTGGTATTTTTTTAACGATATTTAACCGGATGAAGGATTTTAGTCACGGACTTCTGGATCTTAAGTTATCAGAGCAACAATCTGAGCTAGCTCGGTTATCCTGCTGTGATCTGATCAAGAATGATTGTGATTGGTGGTTTGCTGTGCATGCAGAGCCGGCATGTCACTCACTCAAGTACCCCTGACATGAGAGCCGCGCAAGTTTTCCTTTTGTAGCAAGCAGCAAAGGAATTGTAACATGGTGTGTTTGAGTTAATTTGCCTACTTAATATCGCACGTCCTAAAAAATATATATTGTGCATGCACATAACGCAATTATCGTCACGACGCGATATATCGTGCAGCCCTAATGAGAAGTAAAAGTCTTAATACACTTAATCATCAATAATACAACTGAAAGATCCCTTATCCTTGTGATAAATGTAAGGAACGCAAACGGCATGCACAAAATACAGCCTGAAGCTCGTATTTACAAAAAAAAAGGTTTCTATTTCAAACTAAAAGTCTCTGAACATGAAGAATTTACAACACTAAATGTGCTATTAACAGGAGAAGCGGGTACGGCTGCTGTCCACATCTTTTTTAAGGTAAATCTTCCTGAGAGGATGAGATATTGTCGGCGCTATCCACAGTTAGATTTCTAGTCTTGTATTGAATTGTATGGCGAGTCATTTCTCCACACTTAAAAATACTGTGAATGTTCTGTGTTTCCTACCTCGATGGTCTTCCTCTTGATCTTCTTCTGGTGCTCCAGGCGCTCCTTCTCCTTCTCCACAGACCTGGTGGACTCTCTGAGCCGCTCCAGGTCCTGCTGGTACGTCCCCCTCTGGCTCTCCAGCTCCCTCCTCTCCTCCGCCAGGAGCTCCTGCAGCCAAAGAACCAGCAATTAAGATTTATTTTTGGGGGAAAACTGATATTTGTAAAAATGCATCTTGTGTCTTTCTCTTGTACTTTAAGAAAACAATGCAACCTCTACATTGAACTGAGATACGACTGATATAATGGAGAACAGGGTGACTGTGGAGTGGGGGATTAATAAGGGTCGGCATTTCGTCCATGTGTCTGTTGGTAAGATACTTAACCCAAAATTGCTCCGAAAGGCATGTCTACGGTATTAAAGTGTATGTAAGTTGCTTTGGATAAGTCGTAAGCACATGTAATGTTATATGAACTTGCAAAGAAGTGTGAAACGTTTTTGAAACACTTCCTGTTGCTCCAGGGTTTCTATTTTACATATCCATAACTTACGTATTTCTGCCTTTTAGTAGCACTATAGTGTCTGTTGCACTATATTGCATATTGCACTGTTGGAGGAGCCTGGGACTTCAGATTTGAATTGCCAAAACTGTGCTGTATAAAAGACAATAAAGCTTTGGAATTGAATTAGATTTTGAGGCGAGTAACTGTAAGATAACCCCGGGAAAAGTAATCACAGGGGAAGAGGTGCATACAGACCACATTAACAATCGAGAACACTGTAGGAACAGCTTATTTCCTTTCATTCAAAAAGAGAAAAATCACGCATAAAAACAATGGAACTGTACATTTCAAACATAAAAGCAGAGCTCCAAGTTCCTTCATGTATCATTTGCCATTAAAACGTGCTCTCCAGCTCTCTGAGGGACGCAGCTCTTCACCTCCAGCCGTCGGCACTCATCCTCCCTGAGCCTCAGCCGGGCCTCGGTGGCCTCCACCTGCTGCCGGTGCCTCTCCCGCTCCCTCTCCCAGCGCTGCTGCTCCTGCCGGTGCTGAGACTGCAGCTTGTGGAAGCTGGCCAGCTCCTCCCTCTGCAGGGCGAGGGTGCGCTGCTTCTCCTGCTCCAGCAGCACGTTCCCTCTGTGGCGCCCGGACAGAGAGGCGCGCTCCGTCAGAGAGGCTCGCTGCAGCTCCATGTGGCTGTCCTGCTGCGCGATGATGGCCTGGAGACGGAGGGAATGACATTAGGTCATTAGGGAGCATTTGTGGAATGTATTTAGAGACATTTGAGCTATTACAGTAGAACAGACATTCTAAATCTCAGCTAAAAACCCACCTCTTTGCACTGGCTTTTAATACTAGTTGAACATTACATTTTTACATTTGTATGTGTTTTTTTTTAATATTTTTCTAGTTATTGTGCTTTTTATCATGTTTTTAATTATTGTTTTATTATTGTACTCCCATTGTGTTATTTAATATTTATTGCGTGTACAGCACTTTGGTCAACTGAAGGTTGTTTTAAATGTGCTATATAAATAAATAAAGATTGAGATTGAGATAAAGGGGTGAGTGAGCAGAAAACTACAAATACTGCTCAATCTTTAAATGAAATAAAAATAAATTTAATATTTACATAAACACAACAAGTTAAAGTAAGAATGTGCAAAAAAAAGATTAAATATTAGATTTTATATGAACATAAGTCAAGCTAAAATGACCAATAAATAAAAATATATATAATTATATAAAGTCAAATAGAAAAATAATATTAATATAAACATAAGAGTGTTAAAGTAAGATTAAATAAAGTTGACATAATTAATAAAAGGCGGCAATTTATCCATTTTCCTTTCTCTGTTCATTTGTTAATATCCTGGAAAGTGGAGGGGACAGCACTTTACCACCTCCAGACCAAAGTGCTGTCCAGTCAAATAAACAAACAGCACAGCTCACACACCATAACACAAGTACAAGTAAAAAACAATAGACAATTGAAAAGCAACAATCTAAAAGATGACAGTATTACCTGCAGACTGTAGAGTCTTTGGGAGAGCATCAGCACTTTGTCAAAGAACTAGAGAAGAGACAGAGACATCATGATTTAAAAACTACTACCAGAATCACCAAAACAACAAATAACTGAACTAGCGAGGTTCAGCAGGCCTGGCTCTGAATATGAAACCCAGCAGAGTTGTGAAGCGCAAGGTGACACATCAGAGGAGCTTACCTCGGCCTCGGGGAAGGAGTTGGACCAGATGCGGTTCCATCTGGCAGGAGAGCAGCAACTCTCATCAACCTGGAGACACACACACACACACACACACACACACAACACACAACACACACACCACACACACACCACACACACACACACACACACACACACACACACACACCACACACACACACACACACACACACACACACACACACACACACACACACACACACACACACACACACACACACACACACACACACACACACACACACACCACACACACACACACACACCACACACACACACACACACACACACACACACACACACACACACACACACACACACACACACACACACACACACACACACCCACACACACACACACACACACACACACACACACCTGTTACTACATCCTTGATATGAGATCAGCAGCAATATTGATGAAATATTGGTTAATAATCCATGAAGGAATAATCTTCATGTCCTTCAGAGCAATACAGAAACACAGTTAGGTAAAGCTTGGATATAACAAATAAAATAACTGAATTGTTTTGTACCACAAGTTGTGCAAAGTCTGGATGTTTTCACAGAACTGTAACTTAATTATAATGATAAACTGATGCTGTCAGAGAGTGAACTTGGCTTTGTTTTTAACGCACTGCTCATTGTCAGCTACATGTCATATCTATTTTGTCTGCTGATTGCTTTATCACGGCTTTATCTATTTATAAACAAATTAAATGACCTGCGAGACATGGAAACTTTCCAGATGACTTAGTCTGGTCATACTAATACTATTTACAGGAAATAACGCTGTGACTCATCCCAATACTTACTCTGTGTGTGTGTGTGTGTGTGTGTGTGTGTGTGTGTGTGTGTGTGTGTGTGTGTCCCCTACCGTCTGCTCCAGGGTGTGGCTGCCACAGAGGTCTTTGAGCTGAGGGTCAGAGCTGGCTCTCCTGTCTCTGTTTCTGCTCTCGCCAGAAAAGTTCTTCTTCACGCTGCCATCTGGCACAGACACGCAGACACACACAGAGAAAAGGACACAACGACACACACACAGGTAAATAAACCAGACAAAAACACAGAAATACTGACACAAACAACAGATATATACATGTAGAAACTGCACCCATAAAAAGGTCTTTCCCCCCTGTTATTAGAAAACTATACATAAATCAACCAATAAAACCAATTCAAGTCAAATTTGTTTATAGTTCAGGATTTATTAATGGCAGTAAAGGCCACTCGAACACAATTGCAAATTCGTTAAAGGGTAGGGTTCTTCAGGGCAGGCATTGTGCTGGACTCACTCTTATTGAGGATGCTGGGGCTGCTGTCGTAGCCCCCGAAGGTGTCGGCCCGCCGGGGCAGGACCCCCGAGCCGCTCCCCTCCTCCAGCCTGGAGGTGGGAGACTCCTCCCTCACTCCGGACTGCAGCAGGTTCTGGAGGTTCTCCACTGGAGAGAGAGAGAGAGACAGAGAACGTTTAGGTTCAAACACCAGAGAGACTTATATTATACCATAAGATGAAAACACAACTTTAAAGAGGCCCTATTATGCTTTTTGGGGTTTCCCCTCTCCTGTCGTGTGTTCTATAGGTTTGTGTGCATGTAAACGGTCTGCAGAGGCTAAAATCCCAGTGTTCCCTCCAGAGGAAGTTTCTCTCTCACACACACTAACCCCCCCCCCCCCCTGCCTGAAACGCCTCCATCGGACTCCTTTGTTTACTTCCAGAACATAGTGACATCATTATGTAACATTTGCGGTTCTATTTGCTGGCGTTTCAACACATTGTACGTGATAGGCTAAGGGGCG